TTCAGAGCCTGGTTAACTGAAGACTTTTTCTGCCCCAAGAGGCCAACTGCAGGTAATCCAAGCCAGACAGACAATTTGTGTCTCCAATCATTAAGTGTCCTACAATGATTGGAGAGATGACAACCACCTCTGAAGAAGGTGAACATAACATAGTTAGACAAGCTACCTAACACAGAATCTCTATCCTGTTTGGACTAAGCTTCACTTTATTATCTGTTTTTCAGTCATTATTACATCCATATAAACTCATGTTAAGGCTGAAGACTGTTCTGTAGAGCTACTGGCCTTCCCCCATAAACTTGCTGTTGCAGTTTTTCCCAACTGTGCAAGTGTCACTGTTCCTGCATTAGATGACCAACACTTCTTTCAGGTGGTCAACAGAGGAAGCAGAAAACAGCAGCCAAGGAAACCCTTGCTCATTGTCTTTCTTCACTCACTGTTTGCTTTTCATGGGAAAAACTGACAAAACTCTTGTCAATTTCACACTTGTTCCTTTGTCTGGGTTAGTGAGGAGCTGCAAAACCATCAAGCCAGCATTTCCCTTACAAGACCTGAAGCAAAGCCAAGTCACCACAGAAAGATTGAAGCAAGAGTTCCTTTCATGGGGAAGTGGAATCATTGCATCTCAAAAAAAAACAATCACACAGTTGCAATCACACTGCAGATGAACAGGAAATAAGAGCTCTCCAACTCTGCTGACACTGTGGAAATACAGAGGTATGCAGCTGTTTTCAAACTGATGCAGAATCCTTATGGAGGTGCCCTGAGAGGCCCAAGAAAACCAGTAGGGGGTTTTATACCTCCTGATTCTTCATCAGAAAGTTTCCGTGCCAAAATGAAAATTGAGTTTCAACTAAGTAGAGAAATATGCACCTTTTTTCAGAGACACATTCTTATTTCATGCAGAGTTCTTCTCTACTGCTTCAAAAATATGCATACAACTGTGGCATAGAATATGGAGAAATTCAGAGCTGATATCCAGTCAATTTAAATTATTATCTGGTGACCATTTCTCAATGATGTGACGATACACAGATATGAAAGATATCCAAAGTCAGTTAATTTATTCATTTGCATTTTTTCAGTTTTTTTATATGGTTTCAAAAATTATTTATTTCTTGAAACAGAAAAAAACCTAGTTTTGCAGCTTATAGGTAAGTAATAGCTGGTGACAGCATAAGACCAACATGGTCAACTTAAGACCAATTTCCTCTGTAGCCACAAAGGAAAAATGTTCTTCCTATGTTCATAAACAGGAAGTCCCTAAACCCAGGAGACCGAAGAGCAAACTAGTTCAAAACTAACGTTTGACCTAAGACAATGCCTTTGTTGACTGCCAAACACAACAAAAGCAGGATTCTATGGACTAAAACTCTTTGGCCACAGGAAAGAGGAAACAGATAGTTAGGACCATCTTCCCAATATAAGAAAATACTCTGACAAATAAAATACTCTGGTTACTAAATGGCCAATAACAAAGAATCCAACAATTATTTGGCTAGATTTTTTTCTGATGACCAAAAAGGTGCTTTGGATGTTTATAAGTAAGAGAAACACACACACACACACACACCCCTCTTTCTATTGCTGAATAGCACTGGAATCTCCAGATATACTATCAAATGTTAGTTTTAAGGGGGAAGCTCTGATCTCCCCCAACAACCAAAAGAATCCTCCAAATATATAGGAAGAACATGTGCTTAACAGATATGGAATTTTTCAATGAAGGTGCTGGTCCTTCTCCAATCAGTCACGAGTGGTTAGTAGGAATAGCAGTCAATAGTGTTAGAGCTTTAGAGACAGATGAATGGAAGACTCAATTGTCCATCAGTGTTCTGTTGTATTACTTCCTCACCAACACAAAAGATGTCAGATGTAATGTGACATTATTATCATGTGTTCACCTATCTTAATACAGGTTATCCCTTCCAATTTCTAAACATTTAACTTTACAATTAAACCTCATAATCAATCCACCAACATTATGATTATAAAGCACCCATAAAGTTTATTATTTAAATCCAGCTATTTAAAAACAGACAAGTCAATTAGCTAACTTGAAAAAACCTTCTTAAACAGCCTCTTCAAGAAACAAATACAAACAAGACTGTTTCTTGCCTCTGAAAGACAATTTCAGAGCCAAGAAAACACCTTATTCTTGAATACAGCCATCTTTTTAACTTCAGAACAGAAGAATACTCTAAATAAGCCTATTCTAATATTCTCAAAGAATGTAGGAACATAGACAGAAGAAAGCATCTTGAAAGCATGCAGCCTATCCAGTGATCAATGGAAAAGTAAGCATTCATAGAAAAAAACAACTAAAAACAATAAATTGTAGCAACCCAATAGCTTACTTTCTATTTTTGTCTTGGTGATACATATAACATCCACTTTTTAAAAAGTGTTCTTTAAACAAGTCTTCAAGTAGCTCATCTTTTTTTTTAATATGTGTTACTGAACATATTTCCTCTTGGTTAACCCTTAATAACCTCTAGCACAATTTGTTAGTAACACAGTTCTAAACCTGCATGACTGATTATTCTTGTGACTCTCTATCCAAAAACAGGTATCTCCACAAAACAATTGTGCTGCAGTATCCAATTATTGGCAACTATAGAAAAAAAACAGGACACTAAGCAAATTGTGGGTCTTTTCATACAGCAGCTATTGCTTGGCTGTTTCCAAATATCTGAATGCATTATAGGCTTAATAATGCACACTAAGCACAGATCTCTATCCCTCTAAGTAACAAATAAAGGTTTCCTTCAGCCATTTTGACTCTAGTAGCTCTCAGAGGTATTAACAATTTTTGGCTAAATGGACTAACACACTGAAATTAGCTTTTGGAACATCCTCCCATCAAGCATCACTCATGAACAGCTAACCGATCCTGGCTATTTGTTATAAATGGGTTTGTTAGATATATATTCTGCCTTTTGTCCAGAAGTTCAAGATAGTTACATGATTATCCTATCCAATTTTCACCACATTAATAACTTTGTGAAGTAAGTTGAGCTGAAAGAGTAACTGATTGAAAGTAACCCTATGAACTTCCATAATTGAGGGTGGAATTGAACCACCCACCGCAGCCAGAATGGCCATTTCACTGATCAGGTTGGAGACAGCCAATCTAGACTAAACTATTTTAATTGTTGTACGCCGCTCAGAGTCACTTTGGGTGAGATGGACGCTATATAAATGTGATGTATAAAAAATTTCCTAGAAGCATTTTTATCAAGCTCATTACTTGCAGATCAGACTAATTTTTCTAACATGGATAAAACCAGGTTTACACAATTCCAGAAAGGCAGCCAAAAGGGGGTGGTTTTTGAGTTGAAACTGTCCATCATGCAAATGGATGATGATGTTTAAAAGTTCCAAGTGTTGTACAGGAATACCACACTACAAAATTGCCAGTAACAGAAAACTTGTTTTATTCTTTCTTAGTATCCAAGTGCATAACAGGCAGATCTTCCTTTCCAAACTTCCAACTGCCACTGGCCAATTCTTATAAATGGCAGCTGCTTGATCCCTAAAGCTTTCCACATGGCTAATTTTCTCAAAGAAGAATTGCTATGAAGCTCAGGAAATTTACTGATCCAAGGAGAAAATTTAAGATTTACAGTGGTTGATCTGCATATTCACACACCTTGCTGAGACAGTGATGTTGAAGAGGAACAGGAAGGAAGGAGTTATACTTCCTATTCTACTGCATCTGTTAAAACATCTGAAATAGACTCAACAGAGGAATAATTTGCATAACAACTGTAAAGCCGTAAACCCTAAGCCATAAAACCCTAAGTCTATGAATACAACAGAGACCTGTGAATGTTGTTCACATTTTGTGTCCTTTGAAGGAAAAACAACAGTCCCTAATTGTAAAGTGTTCAACTGCTCTGAGTCATAATTACTAGGAGCATCACTGCATCTGTATTCTACAAAAAGTGAATAGATGAACAAATGATCCACAGCAAAACAACTGTACACTTTCTTAAACAATGTTCTGTGTAATCTGAATTATGTTTTATACACTTTCATGGATTCATTTATACTATGAACACTTTTCTGGTCAGAGCAGGCATTTAACTACATTGTCAAAGTAATGGAACATATGTTTCTAAGCTGAGATTTCAAAATATACTAAACGGTAATTAGAATCATACTATTGGGTAAAATTTTCCAAAAATGGTAACATGTTTTACGTCATATTTAAGGAAGACTTAACATCTCCTACATAAAAGTTCTACACAGTTCTTTGGCTTTAACAATTTTCATTTTATAAAACCACTCCAAAAGCGTTATATCAAAATAAAATATTTTATGGGTTGCCCTTGTGGTATGTTATCTGTCTGTTGCTATTTGTTTTTATAAAACACCACATTAGGAAGAAGACAACTGTTCCACAGTTAGAACACACCTGAATATTTTTATGGCCCAAAAGTGAAAGAAAGAGGAATGTGCAAAAGCAGATTAGAATTAACTAAACTTACATCAACAATACAAATAGATAACAGGAATCCACACTCTAGTAACAAAATAAGAATTTGTAAAAGGAGAAGTTGGGCGTGGACTATAAGGAGTTACGTGCCACAAATCTCAGCAACAAAAATGTTTTGGTTTTTTTGCATCTCACAGTTCTGATTCGAGAAACACAACGAGAAAGTGGGCCTGTCTCGAAGAATTAGTCACGGATAAGCTTTAACGCTTCGCACCAACAGAAATAAACCAGAAGGAGCCACTATTTTCGAGGAGATCTCCGTGGACAGAAAGCGCTGCTCCTTTCAGAGAAACTCCTGCCGTAACCCCGAGAGACACCCTACTCTTCTTTTGCGAAGAGCCCGGGTATACTCGGAGTGGTCCTGCCTATTAGAGATCGGCGCCTAAAACGCGTCGTTCCGATAAACGCCGGGTTCCCTTCGAGCCACAAAGGGATCCCGCTTGGGGGAAGGGAGACTCCGCTACAGGTCGCCTCCCTGCAGATTCCCAGCTCCACTTACCGCTGGCCTCCTCCGAGAGAGTGGAGACTGAAGTCTGGCCCATCTCGTGTCCCGGAGGAGGGCCGGGATCCAGCAATCAGGCAGCTCTCTTGGTCCTCTGGCCAGGTTTCCCCTCGCACAGAAACTTCCGAGAGCTCATTTCAGCTGCTCCTAGCGCTCGCTCTAGTCTTAGCAGCCGCCTCCTTGCAACTTCTGCCTCCTCTTGCGAGCTAGTTGTAAATCCTCCTCCTCCTCCTCCTCCTCCTCCTGTTGCTGCTGCTGCTGCTGCTGCTGCTACCGCCGCAGCCCGACTCAAAGCGTTCCCGTGCAGGCGAATGCCTGTCATTCCTCTATGCAGATTACGGGGGGCAAAGGTCGCGGGGAGGGAGTCCCTCTCTGGGGCAGCCACACCACGCTGATTGGCGGGGATCATCCCCGCACAGCAGCGGCTGCAGCCTGCAGCTCCTCGCGGGAGGCAGGGTGCAAGCCTCGGTGAGAGGGAACGAGGTTCTTCGTCACCGCTTCTCGCTTGAACCGGGCCCCCTGTCCTTTGCCCCCATTTCGCTTCCCAGGCTCAAAAGGCTGGTCTTTTCTGTTGATGCTTTTGATGGACAAGTGGGTTAGAAGGTCGTCCTTGGGTTCACTTTTTCTCTCTTCGCCCGATTTACTGCGGCAAAGCTTTTTCTGTTTTGTAGGATTGGTTTCTATTTACTTACAGCTATGTTCCAGGCCATACACAGATACCATTAGGAATCAAAACAACAGCGTTTAATATTTGCCATGTTTAACGAACGTTTCCTGGAAGAGATAAACCACTAGATCAGGGTTCCCCAAAGTGGTCAGTATCGACTTCCAAGGGTTAATGGGACGATCCAAGGAGTCAGTTATTATTGTTATAGTTATTACTTGTATGTATTATTATTATTTGTATTATTCACAGTTAAATTATTTATTCAATGATTTTCATATGATAAATGTTTGGGGATTGAGGAACAATCTGAAACTTCATGAACTGAAGAGTTTGGGGACCGCTGCTCTAGATGCTTAATAGATTCCTAGAGAGAAATGCTGGACTGAAGAATAAGAGCAATAGAGTGAGATAAAATAAGTAATTTATGTTGACCAAAAGACACAAGAACTCAGTGGTTGATTCACTTAAAGTACATTACATTTTCAAGTATTGAGATTTTGAACAAGCATCCATCACCTGAACCTGTAATTAAACAATGAATATACTCTGATGCAAAACTCGAATAGGCTTTAAATGCAAAACAAAACAACCCCCCCCAAAAAAACGCTGCATTGCATCCCCAGTGCTAAAACAAAATTTTGCACATTTAGAATCCATTGTAGTAATTAGGTCTGAGAAAAGCAACATCTAAAATTAACTTCATAAACTATTTTATTGAATTTGATAACCTCTTTAGAAATCAGTTATTACAAATTGGATTTTCTAAGCTACATCTAGTGCAGATAATTACTTTTATTTTTAACATTGTTCTGCACTGGTGTTCAGCTTGAATTAGCCACAGATGATGTGAACAAAGAAAGTGTAATTTCTAAGTTTCCAGTGGAAACTCTGAAGAGAAAAGAGAGCATATAAAACAAGTTTTTTTTTTCCAAGTTAGGTTTCTTTTCTTTTCTTTTTGTTAAAGTATGTTGAAACAAGTGTAGCCAGTCATGAAAAAGGATTCCTGAAAACATGCTGCTGAGGTCACCATTACGAATTCCACAGCTATATTAGTTAAAATTAATTTCCATTACAGAATCTACTCTCAATTTTTTTGCTATGCTTTCTAGTTTGAAATATTCTCCTATACTTGGTTGATATGCAAGAGCCCAACTACACGGTATGCCAGAAAGTATAGCCGCAGAGTCTGGCTCTCCCTTTCTGCCCCAGATAATCTCATATAATGTACCCCTTCTCCTGATGGCATGACGCTCCATGTTTTTCTACATTACTCAATGTGGAATGTCACTAGTCATGTTTCCCTACACTACTCCAAATTACTGATGGTGATGGCGATGGTGATAGACTGAGTGGTAATAGGGCAATGTATAAAATAAATTGTACTAGAGCTATAGAGCAGAAGTCCAAACTTTTGGATTGGCAGCGACATGTTGAGAGCATGTTATGAAAACTCTCCCAGAATGCCTGCTATGCTGAAGGTAGCCAGACACAAAACACCCCAAAGAAAGCTGGAGAAGTTGCTCTCCACCATTTTTTTAGTATCCCAGGATTGAACTGATTGATTATTTATTATTAAATGTGTATGCTGCATAAAAGCAGATTTTTAGAACAATAAATCAATACTTTTTGCACATCCCATTTCCCAAGATATAAAGTTATCATGATAACAGGACTGACCTTTCCCCAGGACTGATCTCTAAACTGCTGTATGATTGTCCAGAAGGAAATAACAACAGCAATGTAAACCATAGTCCAAATCAGAAATTATTTTCTAGAAACTTGATAATGGTTCTTTGGAGATGAGGGAGTTTTTAAAAATATCAGGCACCTATATTCTTGGTAATGGGGAGGTAATCATGCCACCTGTTTCAATATTTGTCCCTTGGCGATGGCTTGGTGGATCTCCCAATGTTTGGTGAGCCCTAACCCTGACCCTGACGATGCTGTGTTTTAAGTGCTGTCTCATAACACATTTAATACTGGCTTTTTACAATTAGAAACCCCCTTAGTGATTTAGTCAATGAGATTTTTTCCCCTTCTTTCTCTTCAAAACTTATTTAATAGAATTTTCTTTCTTGTTTGAGATTTGCAATTTTCTGCTTATTTTTATAAGAAAATTAATTTTTACATAATGTTCCTGGGCTAGGTCAGGAGAGGTTTTTAAACTGATATTCAGGTAGAAAAACAGCAGAACTGCGTGTGGTTTTTAACAAAATTCCAGAATAATATTCTATCCTCACTTAGGTTATATAATTTTAGGCAACAAATACAAGTACAGAATCAGTCATCTATTTGGTCCTATATAAAAAGAGCTGTACTGTATTAGCATAAATGGACTTAAAGAATAGTTCCAAATTGTTTCACCTTCCCAACCTGTGTTGGTTATGACAAGATAAAACTAGAAAACCCAACTATCAAATATTATTTTTTGTTGAATCCTTGGTCATGTACATAATCACAACACACAAACACAATTGTTCTAGAAGGAACCAAAAAAAGGCTAGTATTTGTTTTAAAAAATCCAGATTTCCATGTGGTGAAAGATAAAAAACTATATAGAAAACCACATATAAATTATGTTTATTCACATTAGTTCTCACCTTCAAATGGATGGAAACAATGGTAAAGACATTTTTCTGATAAGCACTTTTAAAAAATCCTTATATTAGTACCATATTGGTAGATTTATGTCTAATGCAGTACTTTCATTACTCCAACAGAATAGAGTATCTGTAGCTCAGGACTGAACTAAGGAGTTCTTGATGCTTTCTGAGCTTGGTTGTTTGCTTGTAGACATTTCATTACCCAACTAGGTAACATCATCAGTGTGATGATGGGTAATGAAGCATGCGCAAGCAAACAGCCAAGCTCAGAGAGCACAAGAACTCCACTTTCATTACTATTTAAATGTTTGTGAGAAAGGAAAAGTAGTAATTCCAATCCTAGTAGCAAAGGAGTAGGGAAAATGGCCTCTTTCCCACAACTTGTTTCTGATGAAGTAGGTTTTATTCCTTTTAAGCCATCATTGAAAAAGCTCAAAAAGAAATGTTTACCTTGACGCCATGTATAGGGGAAGAAAATCTACTCACTTTCTGGTGCTTTGCCTCCTCCAGTTTCCTTCCCTTAGATCTGGGAAGAACAGTACTATCCTTTACTTTTTGATCCCTCTCCTTTTGCCTTTATCTTGCCTACTGTACAATTATGGACAACCCAAAAACTTTATCTTGGTTTTTATTTTCTTAATAAAGACAATGAGACTATGCTGTGATTTGGAGGTTTCTTCCAGCCTAGATTTCTGATACGGGAAGTGCGCTAGACTGAGAAAAAAAGTGGTGAAATAGAATGTGAGAAGCAAGTGAAGTAGCATAGTCCATGCCAGTTTTAGTTTAATCCAGATATGCTTTTGAATGGCATCTGTTTCTGTAAGAAAAAGAGGCAACTCTGCTACCCACTTCTTCAGTTGAAGAAACTAGAGTTTCTGACAGTCTTTCAGAAGCTTTAGTACCTAAAGTATTTGAAAATAGATGCGTAAAACCGCTACAGTACAAGATAAAGGTAAAGACACCCTTGAACTGAGTTCAACTCCTAATGACTACATGAACATTGTATTGATATTGTTTTCTTAGCAAAGGTAAAGATGCCCTTGAGTTGAATTCAACTTCTGCTGATTACAGGAGCACATCCATGTAATGTTTCTTGGCAACAAGGCAAAAGCAGCTTTCCAGTGTCTTCTCCCAGGATATTTTTCTAGCTTCCCAACCTAACCTGGTATCCCCTGCTGATTTTCCATCCTAACCAGCCTGACCCTGCTGACTTTCCAAGTCTGGATAAAGTTGGCTAGATGCTGCCACCTGCTGAGACATAAAACATTATGGATACCCTATGTTCAAAGAATCTCTTTTAACACTCCTAAGAATTTTAAACATTTGTAAGAATTCACTAAGAAAGACACACTCATTGCAATACTAAGTGGTTTGTACTTCTATTGTCTGGAAAAGAAACATGGCAAACTGGAAAGATCATTAATTGCTTACCTAACCTAACCTAACCTAAGTTACCTAACCTAGTGTTTTGTCTCCATGAATTTCCTTCTGTTTTATAAAAACTTTTCTCAGCATAAAGGGTAACTGCTTTCTCTAAATTAAAAAATATATATGCAAGGAAATACACAAGCAAATATATCCACATGCACATATACTTCTCTTATGCTAGTATTCAATTTTCCAATTTAAATTCAACATTTTATCATCTATAATCTTTAAATATTCTGCTTTTCAACTTAAAAAAACCCCATAATAAGACTGTGAAAACAGAGGATTCTACTAGAAATTCTTTTAATAAAAAGTGTTATGGGTTGCTGTTAGCAAGCTACAGATGGGCATTAATGTGAACCATCTGTAAAATAATTTCTATCTGTTTGCAGAAGCTGTGTCCATCTCTCTAGTCATGTATTTAATCATCATTCTTCTCTGTCACATTTAAATTACAATTTGCTAATAACTTTTGAGATTCCTGAGAACAACACTAAGGTTTTTGGGAGTCCATGAGAACATAGA